TCCTAGGGAGAGGCTTCTTGAGGTAACATCTAGCGGTTTGGGATTTTTCTAAACACTTAGAGAACTTTTCTTTTCTTTTTGACACTTGAGGCTTTGCCTTCTTTTCTTTCTACTTAGAACCCTTTTTACTTTCCTTTTTTAACTTCCCAAACCTTTACTAGACCCTTTTTAGCACTGCCAACTCCCTGGACTTAACTAAATTTTTTTTCCTTTGGATTTTCCCAACTTTTACTACTTTTCTGGTTTTTGACACCCAACTTGATCGAGCTCGAGTTGGCACCCCCAAACTTAGCCTGAAAACAATCCCAAGAGAACTAGACAACTAGAACTACTGCCCCTGCCGGTTTAAACACAACACCTTATGCTAAGCAAAGCCAAGAAAGGTTCTCACAATCGCACAAGAGATAATATGGGGTTTGAAATGAAAAGGCTTAGGTTTAAGGTGTGGTAACTGTCTCAAAGATGGAGATCAGCTATCTGGACAAGCAAGAGGGATATGAAAATAGGTAAAGAATGTCCAGATATGTATGTGGTAGCCATGAGTTGAAATCAAATGCAAGCATTGGTAATTAAAGATCAAGTTATGGTTCAAATAGATAGGGAAATGCATCAAATCACAGCAATGGTTGAATGAGATGTGCATGCAGTGATATGATCAAGATAAACATGGTTCTTGCTGCTCAATCAATCTCACCCTAATGCACAAGAGAATCTAAAAACAGGGCACTCAAGAAATCGCAAATGATGAACAAGTTTTCAAAGTCAAATCAACAATGCAAGTGAAAGATGCAATCCTAAACAATCTAAAAATATGAATGCAAAAAGATGAAAATATTTTTGGATTTTTTGAAAATTTTATGATTTTTTTGGTTTTTCTATGCAAATAGAAAGAATGAAAAACTAAGAACAAAGAAAACAAGGTTAAATCATCTCTTGAACCCTCCCCCAAACTTAAATCACACAGTCCCTTGTGTGAGAGAAATTTAGTGAAAGATTCAAGAGGGCAAAAACCAAGAGGAAAAAAAACAAATGCACATGACTTCTTATCTGAGCAGCCTTGGATCTTGAAGATGAGAATCCTGGCTCAGCAATTGTAGCCCATACTCTTTGTAGCTCATCCTCCTTGATATCCCAATGGGTTCCCTCCCCATAAGTGAAACCGAATAGGATCTCCAACTGCCTGCAGGTAATCACCTTCCTTTCTCCCATTGCCAAGAACGTGATCCATCCCCAGCCTTGATCCAACTCAGCTCGATCGAGCTGCCTATACTTGTGGAATACTTAACGGCGTGACCAAAGTCCACCAAACTTCACAGGCGACCATAAAATCACATTTTGGTCGGCAAATCCAAAAGATAGGACGGAGAAATCATCACGGATCATGAGATAGACGACGGAGCTCATTCTGGCCGATGGCGCGCAAGCAATATGGCCGACAAAACCAAATCACGGCATAGCGCGCCAACCGGTTGGAAAACTCTTCTTTGAGCTTAACTAACACTTTTATGCAGGAAGAAACGAAAAGGAACGAGCCAAACTTCACATGGCCAAGGAAACTCCTTCCCGGAGCCGACTTGACCATTTTGTGAAGGAAGTCTCAATCCCACTCGTTCAAATGCTCCCAAACTTCACCAGAGGTCATAAAATACCAGGTTGGTCGATGAAATTTCAATATAGGTCATGAAATTTTTGACGGTTTGTTCTGTAGTTCACAGCACCACATTTTGGCCGACCGAATATACCAATCTCGGCCAAAACACAAACCGGCGGAAACCAAGGCCTGAAATTAAAAACTCACCGACCAATATTGCCTAAAGAAGTGTAGAATGACCCAAACCGGAACTGATCTTCATTATAAATTGGTCGACATTTGGTAACATCATCCTAAACCTTTTTCTTTTCAATTTTTCATTTGAACTTCATGTTATGCCTCTCTTAATCCGATTTAATTTCACCGGGACGGTGCAAGTTAAGTCTGGGGGGATTACTAACAATGTTTGTTCATTTTGGCGTTTTCATTTGCATTTTTCCCTTTTTATCGAGTCGTTTTTATTGAGTCAAAATTTTTGTCGAGAATCATGACCTTATCTTGGATCTAACCATGGTTGTACTAATGTTTAAGTGACCATTGAGCAGTTCTTGGCAATACATCTTACCACAGGTGCACTATGAGTTGATCGATCTACCAAAAACGCCTACATCTCTAAAGACTTGAGAAGGATCCATCTTTGACTCCGCCCTTAATGAACTTAATCTTCTCAGCTAGGGGCTTGGCATACAAATGGCATGATTCCTCATCCTCTCCATCAAATGAAAAAGTCTTAGTGAGTTCGTGCTTCCCTCTCTCTCCCCTTCAAATTTAAAGAAAAAGCGTAAGGTCCAAGTAACCGGGGATTCGGTGGCAAACACCATCAATACTCGCGTCTATGGAAGGCCTATGAATCCAAGCAACCGGGGATTCGGTGGCAAACACCATCAATACTCGCGTCTGTGGAAGATCCAAGCAAAACCTCTATAATAAAGAGAAGGAGTTGAATAAAAAAATACTTCGCTACCCTAAAAAAGGGATGAATCAACTCAAAGAAGTGAGAAGAGAGAGAGGAGAAACATGGAGAAAAAGACAAGTGCCAAAACAAGGGGATGAGTAAGAGTCTAAAGCCGGCTGATCGATACTCCCTAGTTGAGACCACACCTTTAGAAATGAAAGGAGTCAAGGGTGGCGAATTGGATTGTCCAAGGAGAGGTGGACCGCTTTGGGAAAATCGCAAAACTCATGGTATGTACTTTGTTCTTAATTCAAAACTTGCCAATGCTGTTTCATGTGGATTACTAAAGCATAAGTCAATTTGGATTTCCAAAAGATTTGAGAGTTCTCACGTTTTCAAACCTCTTTTCCTGCTTAGTTTGCTTGGGGACAAGCAAAAGGCTAAGTCTGGGGGAGTTGATATCACCATATTTTACATGATTTTACTATATATTACCTATGTTTTCAAACGGTTTTTGCAAGATTCTTTGCCTTTAGAGGTAGTTTTCTTGTATTTGTGGGATTTGAAGTCTTTGTAGGTGAAACCATCAAAAAGGATGCAAAAAGGAGTAAAAGAGCCCTAAATCAAGATCCATGCAAGTTTCCAAGTCAAGAAGATCATTTTATCTCCAAGTGTTAGTTCTCGCTGCGCGCAGAACGAAGCTTCGGAAGTTTGGCCGCGCGCGGAGGAGTTCCCGACGTCCAAAAGTTACGATCTTGATATGGAAAGATAGATACTTGAGTCATGCATCACGTCGAAGTGGAATGAAGCCATTTGGATCAACTATGAGGCCTAGACTTATTTTCTACCGAGACATGTCCGGTAAGCGAGTAAACGAAGCCCATGGAGGATTTGGAGTGTCTAATGGCCCGAGCAGCAGCGCCAAAGGCCTTGATCGAATAGAGAAGAGGCCTGGCTAATGTTTGGAGCTTTCCTTGGTACAATGTCGGCCCATACACGACGTGGAGAAGAAGGCTTTGCTCACGGGAAACTTTCCTTTTCCGGCATGAAGAAAACCCTACGCGACTTCGCCCATATATACATGTTTTTAGCCGCTGAAGAAGAGAGTCGAGTCCGAAAATTATCAAAGAGTGTACGTGTGAGAAGAGAGTTCAGAGGAGAGAAGCCCTAGGAGATCGTCCAAGAAGAAGGAGGCGCCGCTCAACTCTTGTTCTTTCTTTTTCATTGTTTCCATTTCTATAAACTTGATTTTAAGAGTTTTCAAGGGAGAATCCGACTTTGTTCATCAATAGAGAAGCTTTCTTCATCCCTTTATCTCTTTTAATACTTGCATAATGTTTACAATCATGCTTTGCTTGCTTGTTTGCATCATGGCCGAGTAGATCTCTTAGTTAGGCCGAGGAGATCTATGGTGGCCGTGATGATTTGATTGTGTTGCAACTTATTGGGATTTATCTTATGGATCTTCACCTTTACTTGAGCTTAATGCATGATTACTCTACCGTACATCTAGTAATCTGATCTTAGAGAAATAGAACCACGACAGTGCTGAATCTAGATCTCAAAACTAGTATTTGGTGAGCAATAGATCATAGCCAACGAAAGCTGAGTTATGGTTTATTGTGAACAATTGAATCTTGATCACCTTTAATGCATGTTTGCAATTCTAATAGCCAACGAAAGCTGAGTATATTAGGTTGTTTTAAACATAGTGGTTGGAGCCACGACAGTGGAAAGACCATACACTAGTGATTCATGTTCAAGACGGCTCTACACACATCCCATGCAACTATCTTTTCATCATTGCTCCATATGATTGTCCTTTGCCTAACTCTTGTTTTAAATTGTTTACAACTCACTCACATTTCTTTTGTTTTGTTTTCTCATTCTAGGTCCAAAACCATCTCATATTGCGAGCTAGCTAAACCAATCTCACAAGGTGTTAAGTGAGAACACTTCCTCCTCGTGTTCGACCCCGACTACAACACGGCTGTGCACTTGCAGCTCATTAGTTGGGTTTATAAATTGTGAAAATTTGAGGCAATCTAAACCCGCCATCAACAGCTTATGGCAATCATGATCTTGAAGGAGAGTTTTGATGAGAAAGTCAGGCTGGAAGAAGTTAAGGCTTTGCGTGATGAGAATTTGCCATGGTATGCTGATATAGTGAACTTCATGGTGTCCGGAGAAGTCCCTAGTAGTTTTGATGCTTACAAGAGGAAGAAATTCTTCAAGGATGCTAGGCATTACTATTGGGATGAGCCTTACTTGTACAAGAGAGGACCAGACAGCATTTACAGGAGATGCATAGCTGAAGAGGATGTACAAGGAGTTCTAGAGCATTGCCATGGGTCAGCTTATGGAGGTCACTTTGCTACATTCAAAACAGCAACCAAGGTTCTGCAATCTGGGTTGTGGTGGCCTACCTTGTTTAAAGATGCAGCAAGCTTCATCGCAAAGTGTGATCCATGCCAAAGGAAAGGAAGTATCACCAAGAGAGATGAAATGCCACTGAACCCGATTATGGAAGTTGAGATCTTTGATGTATGGGGAATAGACTTCATGGGACCTTTCAAGCCTTCCTCAAACGGGCACAACTACATTTTGGTTGCTGTGGACTATGTGTCCAAATGGATTGAAGCCATCCCCTGCCCAGCCTGTGATGCTAAGGTTGTTATCAAACTGTTCAGAACCATCATCTTTCCAAGATATGGCATCCCAAGGGTTGTTATTTCGGATGGAGGTTCCCATTTCATCAATAAAGTGTTTGAGAAGTTGATGAAGAGTTATGGAGTCAAGCACAAGGTCGCTACACCTTACCATCCTCAAACCAGTGGGCAAGTTGAGGTCTCCAATAGGCAGATAAAGGCCATTCTTGAGAAGACAGTGAGCTTTACTAGGAAGGATTGGTCAACAAGACTTGATGAAGCTCTTTGGGCCTATAGAACAGCTTACAAAACCCCCATTGGAAGGTCCCCTTTCAACTTGCTGTATGGAAAGGATTGTCACTTACCTGTAGAGGTAGAGTACAAGGCACTATGGGCAGTGAAGATGCTGAACTTTGATATAAAGGCTGCACAAGAGAGAAGAGTAATGAACTTGTTTGAGTTGGAAGAAATCAGAATGAATGCCTATGAGAACTCCCTGATCTATAAGTGAGAACAAAGGCAGCCCATGACAAACTGATCCGCCTTAAAGACTTCAAGGCTGGGGACAGTGTGCTCCAAGCTAAGGTTGTTTCCCGGGAAGCTAAGGTCAAAGTGGGCGGGACCATTCAAGATCCACGAAGTTTTGCCCTATGGATCCCTCACTCTACAATCAAGAGGGGAAGGAGTTCACAGTGAATGGGCATAGATGCAAGCCATATCTAGGAATGACCCCCACAGAGGAGATCATCACTCCTCTACAAGATCCAACCCCGGCCTAAAAGGGGTAAGGTCAAGCTATGAGACCTAAAACAAGCTCACTTGGGAGGAATTCCCATGTCTATCTTGTACATATTTCTTTTATCTTTTATCTCTGCGTTTTCTCAGCTAAGTCTTGCAGGAACAGGTTTTAGGAAGGAAAATCCGCCAACTCGAACAACTCGATCGAGCCAAGCAAGCTCGATCGAGCGAGGTGAACCCAGTCGAGTGGAGTGTCCCTGACGGCCGTCTGCCCTCTCCAGACCACGACCTTGCCTCCCAGTTCTTTGGGGGGCACTGAGGTATCAAACACAACCCTTGTACATACCATTTCATATTTTCTTGCTTTGTTTTTTTCTTGGTTTTGCCCTCTTGAATCTTTCACTAAATTTCTCTCACACAAGGGACTGTGTGATTTAAGTTTGGGGGAGGGTTCAAGAGATGATTTAACCTTGTTTTCTTTGTTCTTAGTTTTTCATTCATCTTTTGCATAGAAAAACCAAAAAAATCATAAAATTTTCAAAAAATCCAAAAATATTTTCATCTTTTTGCATTCATATTTGTTAGATTGTTTAGGATTGCATCTTTCACTTGCATTGTTGATTTGATTTGAAAACTTGTCCATCATTTGCGATTTCTTGAGTGCCCTGTTTTTAGATTCTCTTGTGCATTAGGGTGAGATTGATTGAGCAGCAAGAACCATGTTTATCTTGATCATATCACTGCATGCACATCTCATTCAACCATTGCTGTGATTTGATGCATTTCCCTATCTATTTGAACCATAACTTGATCTTTAATTACCAATGCTTGCATTTGATTTCAACTCATGGCTACCACATACATATCTGGACATTCTTTACACTTTCATATCCCTCTTGCTTGTCCAGATAGCTGATCTCTATCTTTGAGACAGTTACCACACCTTAAACCTAAGCCTTTTCATTTCAAACCCCATTATTATCTCTTGTGCGAATTGTGAGAACCTTTCTTGGCTTTGCTTAGCATAAGGTGTTGTGTTTAAACCGGCAGGGGCAGTAGTTCTAGTTGTCTAGTTCTCTTGGGATTGTTTTCAGGCTAAGTTTGGGGGTGCCAACTCGAGCTCGATCGAGTTGGGTGTAAAAACCAGAAAAGTGGTAAAAGTTGGGAAAATCCAAAGGAAAAAGAGTTTAGTTAAGTCCAGGGAGTTGGCAGTGTTAAAAAGGGTCTAGTAAAGGTTTGGGAAGTTAAAAAAGGAAGTAAAAAGGGTTCTAAGTAGAATGAAAAGAAGGCAAAGCCTCAAGTGTCAAAAAGAAAGAAAAGTTCCCTAAGTGTTTAGAAAATCCCAAACCGCTAGATGTTACCTCAAGAAGCCTCTCCCTAGGAAGTTCTTAAAAGAAAAGTGAGCAAAGCTCCTCAGTTTCAAAGGCGAAATGCCAAAAAGGGTAGTTAGGATTTTGTTCTAAAAAGCTCTAAGTGTTGAACTCGATCGAGTTAGGATTAGACGGCTCGAGCTGCTGTTCTTGCATCATCTTTGGTTCTAACACTTAGCCTTCTGCCAAAGCAAAGCCACTTTCTTGAGAGATCCCTGTTACTAAACCACCATACAAAAGAGACCCTCTTTGTCTCTTAACCCATAAACCCTTGAAACCAAATGAGTTGATTGATCTTGCATGTTTTTGGTTCACTGTTTTTGCTTAATGAATGTTAAAGGGATTTGCTGATTTGAATGCATTGTTTGAGTGACTGTGAAGTGGGATTGATGTTGATAAGCATGGTTAAATCTTAATGAATATCTCTCACCTTGTTGCATTCTAGAATCTCTAAGTTGGACATTTAGCAAATCGCTTTTGAGGACATGTTTTTAAGTGTTGAATCAACTTGTTTTCAAACCTCATCTCTTTCTTGTTCTATTTGTTTGCTTGAGGGCAAGCAAAGTTCAAGTTTGGGGGTGTTGATGTACTTGCATTTTACATAGTTTTAGTACATCTTTTATGCATCTTTTGCATAGTTTTAGCATCCATTAGCATCATATCTTGTTCCTTTTCTCTTCTTATGCATTCATAGTAGTTTTAGGTTGCATTTGCATACATATGCATGTTTGGTCCTTTGAAATAGGTCTTTTGGAGCATTCTGGAGCATATGGGACGAGAGGAGCATGGAGGACTTGGCACATGGACGCAGCTCAACTGGATACGCAAAGGAAGAAGGAGGAAGCCATCTTGAAGACCAGCTCGACCACCTACTCGACCAACCGGTCGAGTTCCTCAACTCGACCGGCCAAGCTTCAACTCGATCGAGCTGAGAAGTCAACAGTCAAACCCGAAAAATGTTGCTTCCCCCTTGACTTTCCTTTGACCCTAAACCTAATCCTCTTGTATTTAAAGGCTAAAAGCCACGAAAAAACCACCAAGCTTTAGATTACTTTTTGTTTTAGTTTCTTTTAATTTATTGTCTTTTACTTTTTAGAGCTCTAATCCCATCTTTGTGTTCTTGAAGCTCTTGCTTCTTGAATCCTAGATCCTGGATAATCTCTTTGTATTTGCACTTGCTTATTTCAATAAAAGTTGTTTAATTTCATCTCCTCTTTCTTATGATGTCTCTTTTATTGCATTTGCTTGTGTTTACATTCATGTGTAGTGAGTAGTTACCCATTAGGGTTTGAGATGGGATAGATTAGAGGTTTCATATGCTTAATCCTTCTTGCTTATGGTCTTAATCTAGATTCTCTCTCTTTTGGAAATCTTAAGGCTACATGACCACTACCCCTGGCTTGTATGTCCTTAGGCGATTCTCCACATGGAAGTGATGGAAATCGCTGGAAAAGATCCACTAAGAGCTCCAATATCTCTTGCTCTAGAAATAGAGGTCTAAGGGGTTGGATGGATTAGTTTGGGCAATGATCCTATGGCCTCCAAGGTTTGATTCTCACTGGCTAACCCCCTGTTTCTGAGATCATTCCTTGGTTGATAGCTTTCACCTTGGGAAAGGGTTGGCTAGGCATTGAGAAGCCCAATATCAAGAGAAGCCTTGATACAAGGAGTTTTAAGAGCAAGATGATTAAGTGTAGCTTCCTCTGATTGCAAAACCCTGTCTTGAACCCTAATTTCTCTTTAGCTTGTTAAAGTCGCTGCCTTTATTGCTTTTTACTTCAACTCGACCCTAAACTCGATCGAGCTGGTACTCTGTTCCACTCGACTCGAGTCCTTGGTCGAGCTGTTGCTTACTGCTTTATTTACTTTCTGCATTTCATTTCTTTCATTTAGGTTGTTAGTGTTACCAAATCTTTACTGCTTGCTTGACTTCTTGTTGTTTCATATTCTCATAGAGTGACAAGTTTCCCATTTTGGATTGATAACCTCTTATACTACATGACTATGATGGTTAAGAGGAATTGATTGATTGTGATTGCACCATTTCATCTTTATTCACCCCTGTTTGCATTCCACCTCATATCTTATCACACCACAAAATCCTATCATCAGGACATCAAGAACTTGGAACAACAAGCAATTCTAGTGAAAACCAAAGCATCTTAACCAATACCAAACTCAAATTCAAATTCAAGCACATGCAACAAGTTTAAAGCAAAACAGAGGTGAGGTAAGGCAAATTCACAAGACTATATAATAGAGGCAAAATATGAAAGCAATTATTCAAGAACAAGTCCACAAGGGACACATGCAATCAAAAATCAAAGAGGAAACAAGCAATGAGAGGAATCGAGATGAGGATTCAAGGGTTTTAGGGTTCATACCTTGCTTGAATGATGAAGAATCACAGTAGCTAGAACTAAAGCAAAACAAGATGAGAACAAGAAAATCGCAAAAACTTAAGAGAGAAAGAGAGGAATCGATTTTTTCTTGTGGTGAAGAGAGAGAGAGATTTCAGAAATTTTAGAGTGTGGGAGAGTGGAGAAGTGGATTCGATCGAGTTATGGGGAAGAGGGAGTGTTTGAGATGTGTGGTTGAGATTAAAAGGTGAAATAAAGAGGGGACAAAAGCTAGGGTTTTCTGATCAATTCAGGAAGTGGGGGACCAAAATAACTTGTGGGACCCACTCCCTTGACCAAGAAAACGGTTGAATTTGAAATTCAAAAACTTACCTTGGTCGAGTTGTGGAACTCGATCGAGTTGCCCTGTTTCTAGCTCGATCGAGCTGTCGGTCGAGCTGGCTCTTTGTCACCTAAACTTAACTTATTCAAAGGTTAAAGACACAAAATAGATAGAAATTGCATAATAGAATATGTACAAGGATAAACATGGGACTTCCTCCCAAGTGAGCTTGTTTAAGGTCCCATAGCTTGACCTTTACCTCTTAGGCATTGGTTGAGCTAGTCCCACCATCAAGGGTGATAGTGAGGACTTGAGACAGAAGCTCCTTTAGCTTGGTTGGGTCCCTGGACTGTTCTGAAGTCACCAAGGCCTTGGCTCTAGAGAATGGCCTTGATCTCCCCTTGTACCTTATCTTGTACTCAATCTTCCCATTTTCAAACTTGGTGGGGAACAAAGTCATTGTGAGCTGAGATGGCTTGATGAAGGGGCCTGAGCTGGTGGATCCTTTCTTTTATCACCTGGTCTTGCCTTAGAGGCTACATCCTCCCCTTCTTTTAGAGCCCTTCCTAGTGGCTCATCAAACAAAGCTTGAAGGCTCTCTTCATCAAGCACACAAGGGGCTTGAACAAGTCTATCAGCTCGTGGCTATCAGACGTGGTTTCTCAACTCTAGCCCTCTCAAGACGTGGCTTCTCAATCCTTGGTCCTCTATCAACCTTATCCTTCCCAACTCTTGGTTCTTTGTCAACCCTTTCCTTCACAACCTTTGTAGCTTCATGACTCTTAGAACTGAGAGTGGTACTGTCAATTGTGGCACAAAAGTCTGAACCTCTAGGCTGCAAGCGATATGACACCAAACTATTCACCTTGTGAAGGATCACTTCTTGCTTGTGAAAGTCTATTGAAGCGCCAACTGTACTAAGGAATGGGGTTCCCAATAACAGAGGTAGATCCTTCTCTTCTTCCATCTCCATCACAGTAAGATCAGTTTGGATGATGCATTCTCCAATTTTCAAGTGATAGTTCTTGAACACTCCAAGAGGAGACTTAGAAGTTGCATCTCCAAACATGATTGAAGTAGTAGGGCGCTGCAAGGCTCCAGCAATGCCTAGCTTCTCTGCCATTGAGAGAGAGATCAGATTGATGCTTGCTCCAGAATCCACCAAGGCATTGTCAAGCTCAAGATGCCCAAGTGTGCAAGGGAGAGTGAATTTCCCTTGATCCTTGACCTTTGGTAGGAAAGTGGGTGAAGTAAGCAGGTTGAACTGATGAGTAGACTCTTCAGGACCTCTGAAACTTTATCACTGTTGGCATAACATCCTTGACCATTTGCATTTGATCAAATGCCTCACTCATGCTATCCATAGGAGGCAACTCAATTCCAATCCCACTGAGATCTCTTCTGAACTTGTGAATCACTTCCTTGTGCCCTTGACTAAGTAGGCGAGACGAGGAAGTGCAACCGGTTGGTAAGGATCAAGCAAAATCGGCTTTGGGACAGAAGAGGTCGGACTCGATCGAGCTAGAGTTCGACTCGATCGAGCTGCCGATCGAGCTTGTTGTGCGAGCTCAACTGGTGAAGTGTGAAGGGCCACAGTAGGTGCCTGCACTTCTGGTTGATCAATCTGGACTCCAGGAGCCTCAGCAGCAACAATCTCATCATCATTCAGCAGTAAACAAAACTCTTCAATGACTCTCTCTTGATCCTCTTCTTCAACAAGTCCTCTTGAGTGAAGATGACCTTGCACTGTTCCTTGGGGTTCTGAATAGCTTTACCAGGTAGTTGTCCTTGCTTTGTAGCAGCAGCAACAGAAGAAGCATGATTCTCCAGAGAGTAAACCTTGTGTTGAGATTCTCGATCTTGGAGTTTATTTCAGCTAGCTTCTTGCTTGTGTCCACTACACCATCAGCTTGCCCTTGAAGCAATTGTTTCAGCATTGCCTTGAGCTCATTCTCTTGTGTAGGTGCAGGCTGGGGTGGTTGGTGGGGAAAGCCAGGTGGTATGTCATTTGCTGACCAGGAAAGTCCCTTGGGGTCCTTGGTAATTGTTCTTTTGACCATACCCATGTTGTGGCTTGACTCGATCGAGCTGCTGTTGTTGAGGATAGACCTGGTCCTGAGGGTTAGCAACATCAGTGTTTCGGTATGACATGGCTGGGTTGGACTTGTAGTTATAGTATCCTTTGTTGTAACCTCCTTGCCCATTGCTCATGTAGCACACCTCAGCAAATTGTGTATCCTCCCCTTCTTGGACTGGTTCCATCTCTTCAGCAGACACAAAGTTGACTTTCTTCATTGTGGACTGAGCTAAGATCAGCTTATCCAACTTCTCATTCAATGCCTTAACATCTTTTCTCAATTTCTCATCTGACTTTGGGGTGTGTGTGTGGGTGTGTGGGTTTGAAAGATATGATAATAGGATTTGTGTGTGGGTGTGAAAGATATGAAATGAGATGTGGTGGAATGCAACAGTGGTATATGATGAGGTGGTAAGATGCAAACACAAACACAGTCAACAATTCCCTTTAACCATCATAGGTTATAGTAAAGGGTTATCAATCCAAAATGGGAAACTTGTCACTCTATGAGAATATGAAAAACAAGGAAGTCAAGCAAGCAGTAAAGATATGGGGTAACACTAACAACCTAAATGAAAAATGAAATGCAGAAAGTAAATAAAGCAGTAGAGCAACAGCTCGACCAAGGACTCGAGTCGAGTGGAACAGAGTACCGAGCTCGATCGAGTTTAGGGTCGAGTTGAAGTAAAAAGCTAAAGGCAGCGACTTTAACAAGCTAATGCGAGAATTAGGGTCTAAGACAGGGTTTTGCAATCAGAGGAAGCTATACTTAATCAATCTTGCTCTTAAAACTTGTATCAAGGTATCTCTTGATATTGAGCTTCTCAATGCCTAGCTAACCCTTTCCCAAGGTGAAAGCTATCAACCAAGGAATGATCTCAGAAACAGGGGGTTAGCCAGTGAGAATCAAGCCTTGGAGGCCATAGGATCATTGCCAAACTAATCCATCCAACCCCTTAGACCTCATTTCTAGAGCAAGAGATATTGGAGCTCTTAGTGGACTTTTCCAGCGATTTCCATCACTTCCATGTGGAGAATCGCCTAAGGACATACAAGCCAGGGGTAGTGGTCATGTAGCCTTAAGATTTCCAAAAGAGAGAGATTTCTAGATTAAGACATAAGCAAGAAGGATTAAGCATAAAATCCTCTAATCTATCCCATCTCAAACCCTAATGGGTAACTACTCACTACACATGAATGTAAACACAAGCAAATGCAATAAAAGAGACATCATAAGAAAGAGGAGATGAAATAAACAACTTTTATTGAAATAAGCAAGTGCAAATACAAAGAGATATCCAGGATCTAGGATTCAAGAAGCAAGAGCTTCAAGAACACAAAGATGGGATTAGAGCTCTAAAAAGTAAAAGACAATAAATTAAAAGAAAGCTAAAACAAAAGTAATCTAAAGCTTGGTGGTTTTTTCGTGGCTTAGAGCCTTTAAATACAAGAGGATTAGGTTTAGGGTCAAAGGGAAGTCAAGGGGGAAGCAACATTTTTCGGGTTTGACTGTTGACTTCTCAGCTCGATCGAGTTGAAGCTTGGCCGGTCGAGTTGAGGAACTCGACCGGTTGGTCGAGTAGTGGTCGAGCTGGTCTTCAAGATGGCTTCCTCCTTCTTCCTTTGCGTATCCAGTTGAGCTGCGTCCATGCCCAAGTCCTCCATGCTCCTCACGTCCCATATGCTCCAGAATGCTCCAAAAGACCTATTTCAAAGGACCAAACATGCATATGTATGCAAATGCAACCTAAAACTACTATGAATGCATAAGAAGAGAAAAGGAACAAGATATGATGCTAATGGATGCTAAAACTATGCAAAAGATGCATAAAAGATGTACTAAAACTATGTAAAATGCAAGTACATCAACACCCCCAAACTTGACTTTGCTTGCCCTCAAGCAAACAAATAGAACAAGAAAGAGATGAGGTTTGAAAACAGTTGATTCAACACTTAAAAACATGTCCTCAAAAGCGATTTGCTAAATGTCCAACTTAGAGATTCTAGAATGCAACAAGGTGAGAGATATTCATTAAGATTTAACCATGCTTATCAACATCAATCCCACTTCACAGTCACTCAAACAATGCATTCAAATCAGCAAATCCCTTTAACATTCATTAAGCAAAAACAGTGAACCAAAAACATGCAAGATCAATCAACTCATTTGGTTTCAAGGGTTTATGGGTTAAGAGACAAAGAGGGTCTCTTTTGTATGGTGGTTTAGTAACAGGGATCTCTCAAGAAAGTGGCTTTGCTTTGGCAGAAGGCTAAGTGTTAGAACCAAAGATGATGCAAGAACAGCAGCTCGAGCCGCCTAATCCTAACTCGATCGAGTTCAACACTTAGAGCTTTTTAGAACAAAATCCTAACTACCCTTTTTGGCATTTCGCCTTTGAAACTGAGGAGCTTTGCTCACTTTTCTTTTAAGAACTTCCTAGGGAGAGGCTTCTTGAGGTAACATCTAGCGGTTTGGGATTTTCTAAACACTTAGGGAACTTTTCTTTCTTTTTGACACTTGAGGCTTTGCCTTCTTTTCTTCTACTTAGAACCCTTTTTACTTCCTTTTTTAACTTCCCAAACCTTTACTAGACCCTTTTTAACACTGCCAACTCCCTGGACTTAACTAAACTCTTTTTCCTTTGGTTTTTCCCAACTTTTACCACTTTTCTGGTTTTTACACCCAACTCGATCGAGCTCGAGTTGGCACCCCCAAACTTAGCCTGAAAACAATCCCAAGAGAACTAGACAACTAGAACTACTGCCCCTGCCGGTCGAGCGGGCTTCTTTGTCACCTAAACTTAACTTATTAAAAGGTTAAAGACACGAAAATAGATAGAAATTGCAATAATAGAGTATGTACAAGGATAAACATGGGACTTCCTCCCAAGTGAGCTTGTTTAAGGTCCCATAGCTTGACCTTTACCTCTTTAGGCATTGGTTGAGCTAGTCCCACCATCAAGGGTGATAGTGAGGACTTGAGACAGAAGCTCCTTTAGCTTGGTTGGGTCCCTGGACTGTTCTGAAGTACCAAGGCTTTGGCTCTAGAGAATGGCCTTGATCTCCCCTTGTACCTTATCTTGTACTCAATCTTCCCATTTTCAAACTTGGTGGGGAACAAAGTCATTGTGAGCTGAGATGGCTTAATGAAGGGGCCTGAGCTGGTGGATCCTTTCTTTTATCACCTAGTCTTGCCTTAGAGGCTACATCCTCCCCTTCGTTTAGAGCTCTTCCTAGTGGCTCATCAAACAAAGCTTGAAGGCTCTCTTCATCAAGCACACAAGGGGCATGAACAAGTCTATCAGCTCGTGGCTTATCAGGACGTGGTTTATCAACTCTAGCCCTCTCAAGACGTGGCTTCTCAGTCCGTGGTCCTCTATCAACCTTATCCTTCCCAACTCTGGTTCTTTGTCAACTCTTTCCTTCACAATCTTTGTAGCTTCAAGAGTCTTAGAACTGAGGGTGGTACTGTCAATTGTGGCACAAAAGTCTGAACCTCTAGGCTGCAAGCGATATGACACCAAACTATTCACCTTGTGAAGAATCACCTCTTGCTTGTGAAATTCTATTGAAGCACCAACTATGCTAAGGAATGGGGTTCCCAATAACAGAGGTAGATCCTTCTCTTCTTCCATCTCCATGACAGTAAGATCAGTTTGGATGATGCATTCTCCAATTTTCAAGTGATAGTTCTTGAACACACCAAGAGGAGACTTAGAAGTTGCATCTCTAAACATGATTGAAGTAGTAGGGCGCTGCAAAGCTACAGCAATGCCTAGCTTCTCTGCCATTGAGAGAGAGAGATCAGATTGATGCTTACTCCAGAATCCACCAAGGCATTGTCAAGCTCAAGATGCCCAAGTGTGCAAGGGAGAGTGAATTTCCCTTGATCCTTCACCTTTGGTAGGAAAGTTGGTGAAGTAAGCAGGTTGATTTGGTGAGTAGACTCCTTCAGAAAGCCATAACATCCTTGACCATCATTTGATCAAATGCCTCACTCATGCTTTCCATAGAAGGCAACTCAATTCCAATCTCACTGAGGTCTCTTCTGAACTTGTGAATCACTTCCTTATGGCTTTGACTGAGTAGGCGAGATGATGGATGTCAACTGGCTGGTAAGGATCAAGCAAAATCGGCTTGAGGACAGATGTCTGACTCGATCGAGCTAGAGTTCGACTCGATCGAGCTGCCGATCGAGCTTGTTGTGCGAGCTCAACTGGTGAAGTGTGAAGGCTACAGTAGGTGCTGCACTTCTGGTTGATCAATCTGGACTCCAGGAGCCTCAGCAGCAACAATCTCGTCGTCATTCAGCAGCAAACAAAACTCTTCCATGACTCTCTCTTGATCCTCTTCTTCATCAAGACCTTCTTGAGTGAAGATGACCTTGCACTGTTCCTTGGGGTTCTGAATGCTTTACCAGGTAGTTGTCCTTGCTTTGTAGCAGCAGCAACAGAAGAAGCATGATTCTCCAGAGAGTACACTCTTGTGTTGAGATTCTCAATCTTGGAGTTGATTTCAGCTAGCTTCTTGCTTGTGTCCACAACACCATCAGCTTGCCTTGAGCAATTGTTTCAACATAGCCTTGAGCTCATTCTCAGGTGTAGGTGCAGGCTGGGGTGGTTGGTGGGGAAAGCCAGGTGGTATGTGCATTTGCTGACCAGGAAAAGTCCCTTGGGGCCTTGGTAATTGTTTTTTGGACCATACCCATGTTGTGGGGCTTGACTCGATCGAGCTTGCTGTTGTTGAGGATAGACCTGGTCCTGAGGGTTAGCAACATCAGTGTTTCTGTATGACATGGCTGGGTTGGACTTGTAATTATAGTATCCTTTGTTGTAACCTCCTTGCCCATTGCTCATGTAACATACTTCAGCAAATTGTGTATCCTCCCCTTCTTGGACTGGTTCCATCTCTTCAGCAGACACAAAATTGACTTTCTTCATTGTGGACTGAGCTAAGATAAGCTTATCCAACTTCTCATTCAACGATTACATCTTTTCTCAATTTCTCATCGACTCGATCGAGTGGTGGGTCGAGCTCCGATTGGTGCGATCATACTCTTCTCCATAGCTTCCATTGGAGTTTGCAATGTTCTCCACAAGCTGCCAGCCATCATCCACATCCTGATTAGGAAGTTCCATTGCTGGCTGTGTCCAACATCTCTCTATACCTTGCCAAGCAACCTCTATAAAGAGTAGAGAGTAGTGATTCATTGTTGAATCCATGATGTGGGCACTGACTTGTGTAGCCTTTGAACCTCTCCCAAGCCTCAGCAATGTCTCATTGTTTCCTCTGTATGAAGCTCGATATCTCGCTCCTAAGCTTGGCTGTGCGACCGGTGGAGAAAAACTTAGCAAGAAAGGCCTTCTTGCATTCATCCCAAGTGGTGATTGTGCCATGGGGCAAGCTCTTCTCCCATTGGTGAGCTTTGTCAGCTAGAGACATAGGAAAGAGTCTCAGCTTGATGGCATCTTCAGAGACACCATTGATCTTTGTCAAATCACATAAGCCTATCAAACTCATCAAGGTGGTCAATGGGGTCTTCACTTGGCAATCCATGGAACATCTTGTTCTGACAAGGTTGATCATTCCCAGCTTGATCTCAAAGTTGTGGTTCTGCACTGGTGGTGGAACAATCCCTTGTCTCTGTTGATGGCGGTTTGGAGCATCTCCTAGACCAATCGGTCGAGTTGCCTAGCTCGACCGAGTCCATTGCCCAAAGGGTTTCCATTCCCCTCTGGTACATCCATGGTATCAGTAACAAGCACCTCAGGTTCCTCTCTGTACCTCTCTGTGGTGAAATCTAGCTCGACCAAGTCTTCTGTTGACCGACTCGATCGAGTTCGCATACACCTGCAAAAAGAATCAAAAACCCAGCAATACAAAGAACAGGGGTGGTATAGCTTGATCGTCCAAGTGTATTTGAAACTCAAATGCAACAATAATCAACCCAAATCGGCAACGGCGCCAAATTGATGATAGGATTTGTGTGTGGATGTGAAAGATATGAAATGAGATGTGGTGGAATGCAACAGTGGTATATGATGAGGTGGTAAGATGCAAACACAAACACAGTCAACAATTCCCTTTAACCATTATAGACGTTATAGCATAAGGGTATCAATCCAAAATGGGTGAAGTTGTCACTCTATGAGAATATGAAATAACAAGGAAGTCAAGCAAGCAGTAAATGATATGGGGTAACACTAACAACCTAAATGAAACAGAAATGAAATGCAGTAAGTAAATAAAGCAGTAGAGCAACAGCTCGACCAAGGACTCGAGTCGAGTGGGAACAGAGTAACCGAGCTCGATCGAGTTTAGGGTCGAGTTGAAGTAAAAAGCGATAAAGGCAGCGAACTTTAACAAGCTAATGCGAAATTAGGGTCTAAGACAGGGTTTACAATCAGAGGAAGGCTATACTTAATCAATCTTGCTCTTAAACAACTTGTATCAAGGTATCTCTTGATATTGAGCTTCTCAATGCCTAGCTAACCCTTTCCCAAGGTGAAAGCTATCAACCAAGACTTGATCTCAGAAACAGGGGGTTAGCCAGTGAGAATCAAGCCTTGGAGGCCATAGGATCATTGCTCAAACTAATCCATCCAACCCCTATGAACTCCATTTCGAGAGCAAGAGTTATTGGAGCTCTTAGTGGACCTTTTCCAACGATTTCCATCACTTCCATGTGGAGAATCGCCTATGGACATACAAGCCAGGGGTAGTGGTCATGTAGCCTTAAGGTTTGCCAAAAGAGAGAGATTTCTAGATTAAGAACATAAGCAAGAAGGATTAAGCATAAAATCCCCTAATCTATCCCATCTCAAACCCTAATGGGTAACTACTCACTACACATGAATGAAATAAACAACAAATGCATTGAAATAGAACATCAAATGAAAGAGGAGATAAAGATAAACAACTTTTATTGAAATAAGCAAGTGCAAATACAAAAGAGATTATCCAGGATCTAGGATTCAAGAAGCAAGAGCTTCAAGAACACAAAGATGGGATTAGAGCTCTAAAAAGTAAAAGACAATAATTAAAAGAAGCTAAAACAAAAGTAATCTAAAGCTTGGTGGTTTTTTCGTGGCTTTTAGCCTTTAAATACAAGAGGATTAGGTTTAGGGTCAAAGAAAGTCAAGGGGGAAGCAACATTTTTCGGGTTTGACTGTTGACTTCTCAGCTCGATCGAGTTGAAGCTTGGCCGGTCGAGTTGAGGAACTCGACCGGTTGGTCGAGTAGATGGTCGAGCTGGTCTTCAAGATGGCTTCCTCCTTCTTCCTTTGCGTATCCTGTTGAGCTGTGTCCATGCACCAAGTCCTTCCTTGCTCCTCATGTCCCAAATG